GCATTTCTGAAGCTTTAGTTAATAAACTTGTCCATCGTACAGCCCGTGCTGTTAAAGTTTGGGAAGTCAGAAGATTTTGCAGGCTTCCCGACCTCATCTCCATTCAGCATTTTCAAATAAATGAACTGGCATGCGAGTCAAACAACCTGAAATTAGTAGCCAACCTCATTACTGTAATGCTGCTTCTTGTGGAGAGCCTGAAAGCAGAGGCTGGTAAAGCAGCAGATTTATGTCCAGAGTTTTATAATGTCCGGTTTAATTATCAGATGTGGCCAGAATGGATCTACTGTTTTTATCTCTGCCAAAGAAAAATTACAAAAATAAATTTTAAACGTTTAATGCATCTAAAGAAAATTAGGATTACCATTAAGAGGTGATAAATACTTCTTTTTCAAATTTGGGAAATTCTTGTGCAGCCGTTAAAATGATGATGAAAAGAAATCAAATAAAACATAACTGCTATATCTTGTGTTACTGTGATCATGCGTGTGTCTCATCATGTTTGCTCCACACACTGAAGGAGCTCAGCTTCCTTATGAAATGGAGCTTTTTGTATCCAGCATCTGTGTTGAGCTTCCAGTTCAGCCTGTTGTTGATGTGGATGTCCAGGTACTCAACGCATCAACATCCCAGGATAGACACGGGTGTTGTAGCCATTCTCGCTTTATGACATCTCTCTGGTCTTTTTCACATTAAGCAGCAGATCATTTCTCCAAGACTACTCAAATAAAACCATCCACTCGTGCTCTCCTACCCGTCACTAATGCATCCAAACTTTCTGAGTATTTCTGCAGGTGGCGTGACTCGGAGTTGGACTGAAAGTCTCAGGTGTTCACGGTAAACGGACTGGAGACAGCACGGTCTCCTGTGGAGCTCCTCTAATGCACAGGAGCAAATAGACAGAGCTCAGTGTGATGTCCTGCAGCCTGTCTGTCAGGCAGTCGCTGATCCCTGAGATGGTGGAAATGTTTGCTGACATCTCCTGCAGCTTCTCTCTCAGTGCAAAAAAAAAAAAACCCAAATTGCATCAACACCACATTTCAAGGAGCTCACCAAACATAGGCCACCATATAATAACAACATCTGTTAGAGAGCTATCATCTGCTGAGAGCAGATTAAGCGCATTAAGAGCTCCCATTAACAGAAACAGACGAACGAGTCCGGTTCTCTTCGCCTCGACACCTTAAACATCCCTTTAACTGGCATCACACTGACGATGAATGTTGAGTCACTTTGTAATTGGGGGAAGTTTTAAACGAGAATCTAGAATAGCTTTTTAAAACATTCATAAGTGAGATTTGTCCTCCCTAAAGTGCTGCCGCATTTCATGATTAAAGTCATCAGGCCTATAATCATGTTATTGCCATTGTTTGTTTTTATACAGTGGTTCAGGTTCGATCTGAAGTCATTTTAATTCCTATTTTTCACCCATGATCTATGATTGTATATTCATTTGACTATCATGTCTCCTCTTGGTTGTCTGCGCTTTTATTCTAAGGTGAAGTTGATAAATCGGATCAATGCAGAATATTTGTTCTGTTTAGAAAGGTCACGTTGTTGCTACTGGAAGTCATAGAGTCACAAAACTATTGAATGGTCAAGCAAACAAGTACATTAAGAAAGTATTAAGTACCAACACTGAAAAACACTTGAAAGTTATTACATGCATGTATCAGAACGTGTTGCGAGTTCATACTTTTGTCTCCAGTTTCTTTATTCAGAGTTTGTTCTTTACTGACATTCAGTAGATTCATTCTTGTGATCGCTATTCGATTTTTAATAACGTCAGTTATCAGTGGCTGTAGGGGCACCAGGAAACTAAGGTGAAGTCATTCTGGAGAGCACAGCTCATGTTACCTCATAGGTATCATTTTACCATTGATTTGGAGATCACCTTGTCAGACTCATCACAGCAGCATTTTTCAGTTCAGTTGAGATTAATGCTGAAATAATCACGCACACACACGAAGCAACAGCTCGTGAATGTTCTAAATGTATGTCCGAATGCAGACTGCTGCTTGCA